ATTTTATATTTCTTCACACTATCTTCATTTTGTAGACTTGGTTATGCTCAATAATAATTTAATATCATGATAATATGTGATAAACATATTGTATCCTTATATTATCATTTGACATATTTTTTTTCTAATTTATAGGCCATATGATGTGTTTAGTGATACAGTAGAGATACTAAAAATTCTTTCAAATTGAAGTGAAATTGTACTAATAAGCAGGAAGAATAAACTGAAGCTCAAAATTAAGGGCACAAATCTTTGGGATAGTTATGGAGAATAACCACACTCTAAATACTCTAAATCTATCGAAGCTATTAATTATAACACCCCAATCTAATCCCAGACGTATACGAACATCTAAATATCACTACTATTTTGAACATGAACATAGATGACACTATTATTATCTTATCCGGTCGAATCATAGTACAACAATAAAGAACGTTTTCAGTAAAACCAAGCGTTGGAACTGAACCTGCTTGATCTCTTCGTACTACACTAAACATGAGAAGTAGGTCTTGTGTTGCTGTCAAGGTGGGATCGACATTCATGTCAATGCTTTTGTCTTGCTCTTCATCTCCAAAAACGACTAAACTGTGCATGTTTATTCTACTCCGTACCATCATAATTCACTCCTCGTCATCTTCCTGTAGAATAAGCACAGTTGGGGGACCAGTCAAGGCCTTGTTATCAACAAGGACCGGAGGTTAAACGTCCCTTGCACAACAACAAGCTGGTTTGGATGATGAACGACAAGATTAATCTACCTATAATGCCCATCATCAGGTCTCTATCATTGTTTCTTAATAGATTAGTCATTTGATCTATGGCTGATTTATATCATCTCATGTAAATTTTGGATGATAATAGTTTTAATTTCTAAATATCTTTTTTTTTGTTTACACTTCGAATAACTTATTTCGATTAAAACACTAAAAAATTACTTCTCTCTTTGTAAAAGAAGATGGACTGACTGATTTGTCTATCTTGGTAAATTAATCACACTAATTAATCATAAATAATATATATATATATAATAAAAAAAAATATTAAATATATATTACTTACCCTCTGAATAACTTATTTTGATTTAAGGAAAATTAAAAAATGCTTACATGCTCTGAGAGATCTAATCGAATCTTGTCTTTGTAAAAGAAGATGGACGTGTGTTCGGCAAAAATGATAGCAGTCGTCCTCAGAGTGGAGAGAAGAATCTACTGTCTCCTTTGGGCATGTTGACAAAGAGACAAGTTGGTGGTACTGTAAAGCGTGGCCACGTTGTTGTTGTGAGGAGGATGCGGAGGAGGAGGAGGATAACGCTGGGCGACCGAGGTTGGTAGAGTGACTGATGATTGATGCCCGTCGCCTTTATTTCCTTCGCTACCGCTGTGGTGGGGAACATGCAATGACTTCTACGTTAGAAGCTTAATGGCATCCCAGCTAAGGGGAATCAAAAGCCACATGAAACACACCTCCTATCGGTAACCCAATCTTTACCGCCTCTCTCTCTCTCTCTTTTGAGGAAGCTCACCGTGTCGCTTTAGCAAGGAGGACGGGAAGGCAGCCACTCCTGTGTCGTAATGCTGCACTTCCACTCCTCTCCTCTCGCCTCTTAGATTTCCTCTCTCTCCCCGCTGATTTATCTCTCTCTGTCTCTCTCGCTCTCTCTCTCTCTCTCTCTCGTAGAAGCTTCTCTGTCTTTTCCAACATGGAAGAAGGTAACACGAGGACTAGTGGGTCCAAGAGAGGCGGCGGCGGAGGCGGCAGTGAGAAGGCCAACAAGAGGAGCAAGGAGGGAAAGCACCCGGGCTACCGAGGCGTACGCATGCGCTCCTGGGGGAAATGGGTGTCGGAGATCCGAGAGCCGAGGAAGAAGTCGAGGATCTGGCTGGGGACGTTCCCGACGGCGGAGATGGCCGCGAGGGCGCACGACGTGGCGGCGATGACCATCAAGGGCCAGTCGGCGTGCCTCAACTTCCCCGAACTGGCCGATGAGCTACCGCGGCCGGCCTCCGCCGCCCCCGAGCACATCCAGGCGGCAGCCGCGTTGGCTGCTGCCACCACCTTCGGCGGCCGCGGAGAAACAACACGCGCCAGCGAGGAGTCAGGCAGGAGGCAGGCCGAGATGCCGATGTCGCGATCTCCAGCCCCCGCAGCTCTATCGAGCGACGGCGACGACAAGCTCTTCGACCTGCCCGATCTCCCGCTTGACGTAAGCGAAGGTTTCCGCTCGCATCCGTCATGGGCGCCATCCACAGTGGAGGACTGCATTCAGTTCAGGGTGGAGGAGCCATTGGTGTGGGAATACTACGTGAATTGAGCAGTAGCCGCAGCTGCAGCTGCTCCTCCTTCCTCCTCTTCTAATCGAATTCAAGGCAAAGCAGCAGATAATTTAGCTCTTACACCCCATTCTCTCAGCAGATACTGCAATACCTCCACATAAACTACAAGGCTTTGGAGTTCATGTGTACCATTACACATCGATCAACCTTAGCAAACTACCCATCAATTGGGTATAAATCAGAATGCAAAGACGTGGAGTTTACTGTCTTGCTTTACTGAAGTTGGGTAGTGCATCGATCCTATGCTTTCTATAACAGGAGGGAGAGCAAAAGCTTTGATCATTCGCTTTAGTGAGGACTTCTTTTCCTTCTTTGCGGTAAATCTTTCATATGATTCCTTGGTCTCTACTGAAATCTTGCACATGACTCTTCATTCAATTCCAAAGTTATTAATGATCCTTTGTCTTTGGGTGGTAATCTCTCTCTCTCTCTCTCTCTCTCTCAGTTCTCATCTCAATATTTTCACATGGTTATGACAAATGATGGATTCTTATAGGCCAACTTTATGATTTAAATTGATTTAGGTAGATTTTTTTATTCTACTTGAGATCAAGCATAATTTTTTGGGCCCAATATCAAAAATATATATATCACACACAAACACACACACACACACACATATAAATATATATATA